TCTCATACATGATGACACACCACGCAACCATCTGAAAGTAGGTGTGGTTGGTAATTTACACACAGGGAAAGACGGATCAGTGAGATATGTGTCTTTAAGAGTATACGCTGTGGAAAAAGAGCTTTCAAGACCTTTAGAGACACTGTAAAGTATATCCATTGGAGTTGTCAAACGAAAGCAGCATGCCCAGTAATAGGAAAACAGACAGAGAAACAGTAAATGATAAGCAACATTGTCCTGTACCACTTGCTGCTCAGCCAACAACGCAGAGAATCGAGGAACGATCAAAACGACCAGTAACATTAAGTGAACAATATTAGATTTGCCGTGGGACCATGTAATACTATTCCTATACATTTGTGCTTTACTTGAGTCATATCCCTCTTTTTACATAGAACCATGTTGTATCATGTATAATCTTGTCGGCCTGGCCGGATGCGTGTCACACATCATGTAATTAAGTACGCCAATATACGAGTCACATGTAATTCTGAACTTCTACAACCAAAGGGGAATTAGGTGTTCACTTCGTTACAACAGTTGCAACACGTACCATGTAAATAAGGTATTACCAAGAGAGGCTAAAAATATCATACTTCATTGGAATTTGAATCCGAGACTTGGTGATATCAGTTCAACCGCTCCGGTAGTGGGAGGTGTCACGAACACGACTCAACCTTTACGCGGACATGTTGTTTGAACAGCAGCCTTATGCTGATCTCAAAATGAAAGACAATTCTCATTATAATGGACTTACTAAGTCAATGTGATTATAAGTACTAAATTGGTACTTGTCAACGAAAAAAAGAATTCAAGTGCAAGTCCAGCGGATAGCTGTGTTTCGTTGAGTAAGGGCAACTTCCTCTTCTTTATCATTATCCTCACCACCACCACAACATACAGACTGCCCAACCAAGATAAGCCAGGTGATCCCAAAGGGTATCATTGCTGTGAAATTTATCGCATGGGCTACTAATTCCATTGTTGCTTACGTGTTTAGCAATACCCTTTAACGGATCTTGAGGATTTAAATGTTAAGAAGTTTCTTTTCTAGATAACTCAATTTAGTTACGTATTTTGTTCTAAATCATATGGTTCTCCTGAATTTCAGATCTTACTGTTATATTGTGCAAACTGCCCTTTATCTCTGACACTAAAGTAACGAATGGCCGCTTGAGCTCTCCCAAGCTTTTCTCCCTGTCAAGTCCGTTCTGCAAGGCACAAGTTGACAGTACTAATCTGTCTCGTCGACGGAACGAGCCACAAAAATGTTTGGTTACAAAAGCGAATGGGAGCCGGAGTGTAGCGGATTCGCTTGAAAAGAAAACCAGTCTGTTGCTTACGAATATACAGTCATTTCAAGAAAAATCATCATACATGTAGC